GTTCAGTTTCAGTTTTCTTCTGAGTTATTCTCATTCTCAATTCCCACCCAGTAGGCTTTTGAATCTTAGTGGCATCATCGCCTTGATTGGGGTGTATTGATTTTAAAAAATCGACTTCAAAATCTTCGAAAATAATAATAGGAAGTTATAAACAGAATAGCTTCAAATATTTCATTTTGGATTTCGCATCTTGTAACCTAGTGTTTCTCAAACTTTTTTTACCCATGGACCATTTTTACTCATTTTTTTTTCTTTTTTTTTTGTGGGCACCCATAAACCCTCAATAAAAAAAATCTTATCTTTATTTTATCATAGATTCAAATATAAACGAAAAATATTTATCTTTCCTTTAAGTAAATAAATATATACAGGCTCAAACATAGACGACTAATATGTTTTTACCCACGAACTAAGTCAATGCTTCTAGACTCACGTATAAACGACCGGTATTTACTTAGCCTTGATCCATGTAAATGATTATGGGCTCAAATATATTACTAAAAAGAAAGATTGATTTTCGACGTTAACTAAACCTAGTCTGTCTATATTCACCAACACGTCCTAACCCATTATTATGCAGACAGTTGTATCGACAATGAAATTCAACTCTGTATATAAAAAGCGTTCAGAAATAAAACCACCAAATTAAAAACAAAATTGAATGAAAGAACTCTGTTAAGTAGATTTTAAAAAAACATTTCTTACCGTTTACTTAGTAATTGAAAAATACGTTCGTTTACAGCGGGTGTCTGTCTTCCTGTCAACACAATCTTAAAAAAAAATCCTTAAATATATTTACTCAAATGTTTTATGTATTTATGACTGACTTAACTTTTTTATAGATTCTTTTTCGTTTTCTATTCTACATATGTCGCCTGCAATTTTCTGCAGTAGGCCGAAAAATTCAAAATCATTTTGACATTTAATTATTGATAACAACCTTGCAAGTAATCAGATCCGCACAAGAGAAACCAGCGACAGAAATTGGTGCTGAGGTTTTTGCCCCTTTCATATTGACACTCTCACGTTCGCTGGCTTTAGGAACTGCGATTGTCGTCGTCGTCGTGTTGGTTGCCTAAGAAACGAGCTGCAAATGAATGAGAATTCCCCCAGACTTAATGAGCCACATAACCAATCTAATGATTCGAATCCAGATGAATGGACCGCGAAGCAGAATAAGACCTGAAATAGAAGAGCATCATGTCTTTGTCAAGGACAATGATACAATGATACAAGGAATACGGTATTCATTATTAGAATGATATCTGTGAAAGCAATATGGAATGCAAAATGCAGAAGGATGGGCATTTATATTTACTTCAGCTTTATCTCGTATCCAAGAATTTAATTTCTTCTTTTCTGATCGCTTCCTTTATGATGCTGGCTTTGAAGACTAAGTAAACCAATTCTTGCATGGAAGAGCCGATTGCATTGATTGCATATTAATGTTGGTGGTGTTCGATGTCAGCTTTATTTTTGAGCATAGGAGACTGAATAGAAGTAGTACATTAGATGCCTGGCGCGCTTCACCTTCGAGTGGGCCGGGATCATTGGTCCTCAACTGGTTTGGAAATAGCATTAAGCGCTAGTGGATTTATAACGAAGGGCCTGAAGCATCAGTTCATAAAGACGTATAAATAAATCAACAGCAGTCGACGTTTGAATCAAGAGAGGTCGATCGATCTACTTCCACTGTCCATGTCTGCGAATATCTCTTTATCTCATATCCAAAAATTGAATTTATTCTTTTCTGATCGCTTTAGTTATCATGCTGGCGTTGAAGACTAAGTAAACCAATTCTTGCATGGAAGAATCGATGGTATTGACTGCATAATAATGTTGGTGGAGGGCGATGTCGGTTTTATTATTGAGTATAGGAGACTCTAGATAGGGGTAGTACCTTAGATGCCAGGCGCGCTTCACCTTCGGGTGGGTAAGCGTCACTGGTCCTCAACCATCTCCAAAATCTCCCGCGTGATGGCTTCAATCTATCGTTAACAAATTTCGGCTATTCATAATCAGGGTAGCGGAAATGATAGACGTCGTCAGCTTTATCTCGTATCCAAGAGTTAAATTTCTTCTTTTCTGATCGCTTCCTTTATGATGATGGCATTGATGACTAAGTAAACCAATTCTTAAATGGAAGAGCCAATGACATTGACTGCATAGTAATGTTGGTAGAGGACGAGGTTGATTTTGTCAAGCCTTTCTCTCTTGTCGTTTTGACTTCTTTTTTTCTCTTCTGATGGCTTCGCAGATTTTGGTTACGATGGTGATGAAACATCACAAATTTGGTAAGATCTTGTGCATGTCTTTCAAACTATTTAGGCTCAAGTCCAGTGGCTTTCAGCATTGTTTTGACTTGGTTCTTGTATCTTGGAAGAGGAAAATTCCGTAGGCGTAATTTACACGGTTTAAAACACAACTAAAAATGAGGTGTCTATTTAAATTACGAAGTATCCACCATGATAACGTTTGAAGTAATGAAAATGGCGGAATAAAAATAAATACATTAATTCTTTAAAAATTGCTTTTGTTTAACATTTTTCAAACGAAATTAATCAGGTAAGAAGCTTTCAAGAAAATAATGTGAGTGATGGAGATGTGTAATCGTATCAAAGAATTTCATTTCTTCATTGATTTTCGGCTCCTTTATGATCTTCTTCCACATTCTATGTCTGGGAATCGTTGGCTTTATCACGTATTCAAGAATATAATTTCTTCTTTTCTGGTCGCTTCTTTTATAATTCTGGCGTTGAAGACTAAGTAAACCAATTCTTAAATGGAATAGCCAATGGTATTGACTGCATAGTGATATTAGTGGAGGACGATGTAAGTTTTATTATTGAGCATATGTGACTCTGAACAGAATTAGTACCTTGGATGCCTGGCGCGCTTTACCTTCGAGTGGGCAGGGATCATTGGTCCTCAACTGATTTGGAAATAGCATTAAGCGCTAGTGCATTTATAACGAAGTGTCTGGAGCATCAGTTCATAAAGATGTATAAATAAATCAACAGCAGTCAACGTTTGAATCAATCGAGGTCGATTGATCTCCTTCCACTTGTCCATGTCTGGGAATCATTGGCTTTATCTCGTATCCAAGAATTTGATTTTTTCTTTTCTGATCGCTTCATTTATGATTTTGGCGTTGATGACTAAGTAGACCATTTTTTGCATGGAAGAATCGATAGAATTGGCGGCATTGTAATCTTAGAGGTGGGCGAGGTTGATTTTGTCAAGCCTCTCTTTCTTGTCGCTTGACTTCTGGTGCTTCAAAGTTTTTGGTTCCGTTGGTGATGGAATATCGCAAAGTTGGTAAGGTCTTGTGCAGGTGTTTCAAACGATTTACGCTCAAGTCCAGTGGCTTTCGGTGTTATTTTGAGTTGGCTCTTGTATCTTCAAAGAGAGCAACCCCGTGGTCTTCTCCCTAAAGTGAGCTCACTGAATAAGACGACGTGGAAACCTTAACGCTTCCATTCTTGCTACATGTCCTGACCATCGAAGGCGGTGTTTAATGATCAGCGATTCAATTCTTTGACTGTTTGCTCTTTCCAAGACTTTGGTATTGATCACATAGTAATTGCGTTTGCTGTTCAAGATTGAACGAAGCTTTCGATGCTGAAAACGTTTTAATTTTTAGATGACGCGACGATATAGAGTCCATGTTTCGCAACCATATGACAAAGTTGGAATGTCAACAGTATTAAAGACTATATTTTTTGTTCAGCTCTTTTTTGCTGAAGACGTGTTTGATTAGCTTTCCAAATACCTTGCGTGCAGCTCCAATTCTGTATTCCTTTTCTGACGGGTACTTGTATGATAAAAGGCTACCTAAAAATAAAATCTATCACAAATGGTAACATCAAAATCTGATAGGTTGGTATTTGTGGTTGATTGAACAAGGACATTGATTTTCTTGATGTTTACTGTAAGGCCCAAAACAATGGCAGGCCATAGCAAATTTGTTCACAGAATGTTGGAGTTCTTAGTGGACTTCGATCTAAACGTCTAAGACACACGCAACAAATCTCAGAACTTCAGTATGTTGATGTATGATTGTAACAAAGCAGCAAAATACAACTTTTATCAATGACTGCTTTTATAAAGGAAGTAAAAATTACGTGTTTACTCAGTTTTAATGCAATTTCCAAATAGTTTATTTTTCTAGTCGAATGTACTCGGCCAAAGGAGGATTTTGTTCGGCTGAGGCCAGAAATCCAGTAGAAGTCCTACGTACATTTTCATAAATAACAATTCAAAATAATTCAGTGGATAATGTTATTTTACTTAATGAACTAATTTTATGACATCTGTATTAACAAAGACATTAATTCAGTAAACTTACTATTACAACAGCAACAATAAAAAATACAATGTAATGAGAGGATTCACCCTCATGTTGGAAGTCTCCACCCAAGTGTATCATCAATATGACGGAGTTCTTCGATAGATCCAAGAACTACGCCCATCTTATCAAAGAATATGGCTCTTGGTAGAGCTCGAGGTGTTACAGAAGTTTGAAAAAAGAATTGTGTCTCAGTCTTCGTGGTCGACACACTTTCGCGCAAAGTTTGTTGCTCCTCAAAAGACACCGTTGTTACGTTTTTGACGTCTCTGGGAGTCAAATCTCAAAGAATTATCAAATGAAAGAGGCATTTCATGTGGGACGTACTGCTGCCCACGTCTGTTAACTGTGAGGGCGCCTCAAGCCGAGATCTAATCACAAAAGACCACATAATAAAAACTGAATATAAGGGCAGGCGAATGAGTATTTGAGGTCCCTCTCAGTTTTAGGGGAAAACTTGGCTGACTATCTAGTCAATTTTGGTCAGATACGCAGTGCTATCTTCGACGACCTAAACGATGGAAGGAGCTTCGAGATTATGTTAGACCGTAAAGCCTTCATCTCTGTCTCTAACTGTCTAGATGTAGAGAGCCAGAAAATGCCTGTCATGTGACCGGCCGTAAACCAACATGCTGGGAGTGTAGCTAAACTG